TTCTTATACCACTATGTAATATCTTTAAATAGAGAAAAAAAATCAAACAGTGGGAAAATACTTTATAAGTAAAATAAACACTGGCTATCATGAAACCAAGACAATTTCACAACATAATCCAAAGTAAAACATTAATAAAACAATGGATTGCAATTAGATAACGGACTTTCCTTGAATACCAAAATGTATTAGAAAGCCCATTTAGTTATCTTGCCACCGTCTGGTCATTTTGGTTCCTATTTTACCAGGAAGTGAAATATCTGTGTTTTCTCCCTATTTTCTTTACATCTAACCTGAGCATTAATAAAAACAGGTTCTCAATCAAAATTCGATTTCAACCTAGAAGTCTTATTTCCAAAAATCTAATCTTAGACTTAGAACAGCATCTTTTTTCTTCTATAGTATTACTTTATACCTTTTAAGGATCTATATAAGATAAAAATAATAAACTCAAAAGAAAGAAAACATCGTTGTAATCAGACTTTTGGAACAAAAGAGGCTTCTCGCTTAACAGATGAGGAAATGGAGGTCAAAAGGCTGAGACTGAGAATGTTTTAGTGGTGGCAGCGATTTTCAATTACGAGCCAGATTTAAGAATTCCAGTCTCATGTTCTTTGTAACACACTATAGGAAATGCTACAACAACAAATTACTAAAAAAGTAAAGAATTATGTTAAGTAGAATTACTTATTATTTGAATCCAAAGAATATCAGATTCCCCCTCTCCAAAGAAAAGGTAAGGCTTACCCTAAAGTAGGGAATATGAAGGTTCTCATTACTTACAAGAAAAAAGAATCTTGTAGGGAAGATTTTGCTTGGTAATAAGTATTTAATAACTTAGGAAATAATCAGTGTAGGTAATTTATTATTTTAAGTACTCTTTACCAGTTCACAAATCCAAGAGACAGTTTCCGTATTTGGTTACAAGAATGCCGTCTTTAAGAAAATATGTGGCTTGTTTTTGTGTATTCCTCCTTTATAAACATGCAAAAGCCTATTTCTATTCTTCCAAGTTTATCCTAACTTTGTAGTTAATTATGCACAGCAAAAGAAATGGTAAAGTGAGCAGACAGGACATATTTACAAAACATTAATATTTTTTGTCTATTACAAATTGAAAGTCAGACTCCTGACAGTTATTTTTTTTTTTTCTTTACAGATCCCTACAACAAGCATATATCAAAACAGTGAGCAAACTAAAAGCTTACATAAATGGCTCTGTCTTGATGATTAAACTGGCTCACTGATGCGTGCCAATGAGTGCTGCTCTGGTTTCAGGTGGTCAGCATATCTTCCTGGTTAATGGTATCCAGGGGAGAATTGCTCTCCTCTCTCTCTGATTCTGCATTGCCTGCCTGAGCTGCCTGCATTTTGCCCCAGTATGTTAGAGACTCCTTTAGTTACTCACTACTTGCTCCCAGAACTCAGAAGAGAGACCTGAATGAAAACATAAATTCAGAAGTTGTCAAAATGTAGTTAATAATTGGAAGAAAGGGTGTGTGTGAAATTTATGAGAGTATAGAGAGATGAGAAGGGAAGAAAGGGGAAGAGAAAGAAAGAGAAAAGAAAAGAAAGGAAGAAGGCCTGAGACTAGCCACAGATTCATACAACAAGCAAAATCAGCATACATCAACGAGCAAACAAAATATTTGTATAAGTGGCTGTGTCTTTATGACTAAACTGGTTTACTGATATATGCCAGTGAGTACTACTCTGATTGTAGGTGGTCACCATACCCCTCTGATTAATAGACTGGTCTCTGAGAAGAGGGAAAGTAACCAGGGGAGACTAGAAACAGGAGGCAGAGAAATAACAGAAAAGCCAGAAGACTCTGGGGTCAGAGAAGATGAAGTAATTTTTTTGGAAGAGGCTAGAAGTGGTCAGCTATAGCAAAGAAGATGTGTGCTGTTCATTGGACTTAGCAGCATTAAGGTCACTACTGATCCTAGCAAAACAAATTTAGTAGATGGGAGAATTGAAAGCAGATTTTGATGAGTCAAAGGCTGTTATGTGGAGATCAAAGGATGAGTAAACTGTTCCTAGAAGCTTAGCAGTTTAAAAAAAAAAGAGAAGCTAGATGGAGTGGTAGGTGGAAGTGAATGTGAGGGAGGTTTTTCCTAATATGGTAGATATTTGAACATGTTTGAATTCCCATAAATTCTCTTCAAAAAGAAAAACAAGTAATTCCACTGAGCATAAAAATTAATTTTCTCCCAAATATTTGTTCACTCATGTTATTCTGTGAGCCAAGATAGCTAATATCATTTAAAACTTTTGATTGAGATCAAATGACCAAGCAGGAACCAATTTTCCCTATCTCTCAGCTTTGTGGTCACCCATTTATTCATTTAAAATATTTATTAAAAAGCTACTATGTCTCATACTCTATTTTATGCACTGAAGATACAATGATACAAAAGACAAGCAAGCCCACTTTCACTTCTTTTTGGCATAGCGCTGTAGTAGTACACCAGTGCAATAAGTTAAGAAAAAAAATTTAAGAATATAAGAAATGGGAAGAAATAAAACTTGTTTAGATAATATAACTGTATATTTATGAAATTCCAATGATCTCTAGATAGATTACTAGCATTAATTAATCAATTAAGATTGCTGGATATAAGGCGCCATAGGTAGAATTCTTAGTTGTCCCCCAAGATCTCATACTCCTGGTGTACATGCCATATGTAATCACCTCCCCTTAAGTGTGGGTGGACTTGTGAATATAAGATTTCACTCTCATGATTAGGTTATGGTATATGGTAAATATGAAGGAATTCTGCAGATATAAGACCAGTTGAACCTGAGTTAATCAAAAGGGAGATCATTCTAGTGGCCCTACCTAATTCGGTGAGCCCTTTCAAAAGAGAGTTTAGAGGTCAAAGATGTCAGAAATCAGAATATTTGAGGAAAGAGAAATGGTGTCCTGTTGGCGTTGAAGAAAAAAATGCCATGTTTCAGTGAGGGCTACATGACAGGAAAATGCACTGGTCTCTAGTAGCTGAGAGTGGCTGCTGGATGACAGCCAGCATGAAAGAGGAACCTCAGTCCTATAATTCTAAGGAACTGAACTGCACCAATGAATGAACTTGGAAGAGGACCCACAGCCTGAAATGAGCTCATAGGCCTGGCTGACACCTTAGTCAGCCTGGTAAGACTCTTAGCAGATGACCCAGCTAACTTGTATCCAGATTCATGGGAACTGTGAGATAATAAATTTGTTTTCCAAGATGTTAAGTTTGTTATAATTTGTTAGACAGCAATAGAAATCCAATATATAAGATCAATATACAAACATTTGATTGTTTTTCTATATACCAGCAACAAACAAAAAATTTTTTAAATTATTACCATTTACAATTGCACAAAAATATCAAATACTGAGGAATCAATCTAATAAAAGAATGCAAGACCCCTCTACACAGAAAACTATAGAACAAGTTTTTGGGAGAAATTGAAGATAACCTAAATAAATGGAAATATATGCATTATTCACGGATTTTAACTTTCGATGTCATAAATATCTCAATCTCACCAAATTAATTTATAGATTCGATGCAATCCCAACCAAAATCCCAACAGGTTTATATGTGGAAAATAGCAACCTGACTCTAAAATGCACATTGATTCTTGAACAACATGGGTTGAACTATGCAGGTCCACTTATATGTGAATTTTTTTCACTAAATCTTTACTACTTTTGATATGTGGTTGGGAGTCCTGGATAAGGAGGGGTGACTATATGCATTGATTTATGTCATTTTGTGTAGAGGACTTGAACATCTTCAGATTTGGGTATCCATGGGGGACCTGAAACCAATCCCCTGCAGACACAGAGAGACAACTGGGGGTTGTTAAGTTTTGCGGGAGTCAGAAGTTATACATGGATTTTCAACTGCCTAAGGGGCAGCTCCCCTAACCCCCACATGTTCAAGGGTCAACTGTATATGGAAATGCAAAAGGCCAAGAATAGCCAAAATGCTCAAAAAAAGAACAAGATAGCAGGACATACTCTACTCGTTACCAAGGTTTATTATAAAACTAAAATATAAATACAGTACGATATTAGTATAGTAGCTAAAGATAAAAAAAATTTAGAACCTCTAACAAGTCAAAACAGAAAAGATAGGTAATTCAATAGAAAAATGGGCCAGACATTTAACAGGCACTTCACAGAAAAGTATATCCAACTGGCAATGTGGAAAGGTATTTGGCCTCATGTGTATTATGATATCCTACACATCCACACTTAGAAGACTGTAAATGCTAAATGTTGCTTAGAACGTGGAGCAACAGGTGCATACCAGTACAGAAGAGTAAATCGGTACAATCACATTGGAAGAAAATTTGGCAATATTTGCTTAAGTTGAACATGTGTACACTCTATGACCTAGCAATTCTACTCTTAGGAATATATCCAATAGAATTGCATGCATATGTTCATCAGAGACATTTATAATAATGTTGAGTGACAGAAGACAAACACACAAAAATGTATATTATATAATTCTATTTATATAAAACTCAAAAATTCAAAACTATGGTGTTAATAGTCAGGAGGAGAGGAGGGTAGTGATTAAAAGGAGTACGAGGGGGATAATGTTCGATTTCTTGATCTGGGTGGTAAACCACTTGGTAATAATTTTTTACTCAAACATTTGTGTATTTTTTTCTATATGTGAGTGATATATCAATAAAAAATATTTAAAAATAAAGCCAAGCTTCCTGCCCTCATGGACTTTATAGTCTACTGAGGAGATCCCTGCTCTCCTTCTTGTTGGCTGACTTAAATCTCAGGCTTCGAGTGGAGGGAAGTGGTAGGAAAATGGCTGCCAGCAGCTCCTGGCTTACAACTTCCGATGATCAAATCAGTAGCCAACGCATACCCACAGGCTCAGCAGAAGTCCCAGATTGCCTCTCTCTGGCTCTGATTGGGTGATGTACCCATCCCAATCACATAGGCCAATGTGAGGCTCTGATTGGCCAGGCCTAAATCACAGCCAACACTGAAACCAGAATGAAATGGAGTCAACTTCACCAGAACACATAACATGATGAAAAAAAGATGTGGTTCTCCAGAAAAACAAAAACAAAACAAAGCTGGGTCCCCATTTCAGAAGATGAAATAAATGTGAGCTGAACACCCAGCAAATGTCCACAACAGGTCTCTTTCAAGTGAAAACCCAGATTTGAAACTTCATATTAGGTCAACTTCCCTTTAATGTCTTTCATTTTACAGCACATGTTTCAGTGATTTGGCTTGCTTACTTCTTCCACTGCTAACGTGACTACAAATGGACTCTTCTCTTTTGTCAGCTGAGAAATAGGGCATTCTTCCCCACACCATCGCTGTTTCTTTGGATTTGTAACAAGCCAAAAACAACCAACCAACAAAATAACAACATAAATAACAACAAAAATCCATTTAGAGTTTTAAATGCTTGTTTCTGCTAAAAACTACAATGTAACAATACAAATAATCAGATCTTGGAAAATAAGTTCTATATCTACCCACATTTAGAGGCTTCTATCAGGTGCCTCAGGGGTTGCCTCCTCAGGTAAATTTCTTTACTATCCCCTCTCCTGAGTTACTTAGCTCCTCTGACTCTATGCTTACTTATACTCTATTGTAATTTTCTGGTTACTTATCTGTCTTTCCCATTGCTTCATGCCTTCCTCGCAGACAGGGCTTTGGCCTTTATCTCTGAATCCTCAGTACAAAGCTCATTGTTTGGGACATACACGGTGGAGGGTCAATAAATGTTTTCTGAGTGACTAAGTGCTTCATATCCCAATGGCATTTTATCCTGATAATAGTCCTGTGAGACAGAGATTATTATTCTGCAGCTTGGAGAGGTAAGTGACCTGCTCAAGATCACACACAGTATGTGGAATCAGGATTTGAGCTTGAATCTATCTGATGCCAAAGTTTGGGCTCTTGGCTGCTGTCTTTGTCAAAATGTTTATTTATTTGGAAAAAGGTTCAAACTCCAGCTTGCCAAAGTGTTTCTTAATTTGATCCTACCTGCCGTTTCGAGCCCTTCTTTCATTATTCACCTTTGTGCATCTTTCCTCACAGCCTGTAAACAGACTGTAGGTTTTCCTGCCTCTTTGTTTATGATAAACTCTGCCAACTCTGACTACTAAAATCTCATCCCTTCAAGGATCAGCTCGGATGTCATCTCTTTTACAAAATTTTCTCTTATCATTTAGCCAGAAGTGACATTGTCATATAATTTATTTCCTAAACCATGGACATA